CAAGCTCTCAAGGTGATTATCAGGCTAAAGTGTGGTTTGGATGTGGGCTATACCGCTCATTAACATTAACACTTACCTATTATATTGTACAACACATCCCAAAGGGGAAGCTGCTACTGTTTGGACACAATATTTTAACAAGCTAGGCCTTCTTATTCTAATAGGAAAAAAGTCTACACCTAATGCAATCCATAAATGTAAATGAGGTGAGGTGAGAAAAGAAAGGTGTTTCCGTGGCAGACACACCTTTGAAGATTCCTTCCTTTCCAGTGGCCTGGGTGGGGGAGACAGGCAGCTAGTCACTGCAGTAAAGTACACTTCACTCAGGTTTATCCCAAGGTGCTCATGGGAAACAAAAGAAGCTGAGCTCCACCATCACTGAAATGCAAGTGGCGATGCCAGAGAACAGGGCAACAGCCAGAGAGAGAGAGAGAGAGATAGAGAGAGAGAGAGAGAGAAAGTGAGAAAGTGAGAGAAAGCGAGAAAGTGAGAGAGAGAGAGAGACAGCAACTGCAGGAAAGAATTTCGGAAGTCTAAGCCTGACAGTGCTCATCAGAAGATCTGGATTAGGCAAGAATCCTTCTAAACACAGACCTCAGTACAGCAGATGCTAATCCCAGATTATGTTTAACAAGGGAAAAAGAAAGGGTAAGCAGCTTTTTGTGTGTGCCTTTCCCTCTAGAACAATTCGAGTAAGCTACTCAGAAAGAAGACAAAAATAAAACATAACAAGATTCTCTAAAACCTGATTATTATCAAAACCCAAAACAGAAGAAAAATGATGCATGTTTAGTCCTTCTAATTATCTTACAACATCCCAGACTTTCATGACCCTTAGCATGACTTTTCTAATGAAATTAAACCTCTCAAACCCTTCCAACAGCAATGGAGGGGCTTTCAAATTCACCGTAACTGGTTGCTGCTTCTTGGGTACTCATCTGGTCTCTCTCTGCAGATTAACCCATTTTTTTTCAGGCCTCAGATCAGGTGTGCGAAGCTCCTCCAGCAACATAGCCTCTCCAATATGTCACCGTTTCACAGCCCACAGGTTCAGAGCTTTTGTTTTTATGTAACTTACACAGTTGCCCCATTAAGATATTAAATGTTCAATAGTCCATCTCTCCATGAGACTAAATTTCCTAATGCAGAAACTGTCTTCTGTTGGATCACTGCCTCCCCGCCAACACCTTGGTGGACAGCCATACACAGGGCACTTTATGAAACTAAGTGAAGGGCCTTGTGCTCTGTACCAACAAGTAAGGCAAAGCACAACTGACTGCCTTTCATGATGCCTTTCTCAAAAGACAGAGGGGTCCTGAAGCAATCTGCCTGCAGTTTACGGAAAGATAAGAATAATAGTTAACCTTTGCCAAAGGCTCTGCTAAACACTGGCATGTTGGTTTAGTGCTAAGTGATTTCCCTCCTGTAAACATGACTAAACATTTTCCACTTCCCACCTCTGTTTCCCATCTCAGTCTAGATGATCAATGAGCGGCCAGTTTGCATGTCTTTACAAGTGCTGAAAAAAGCAACGTTCTTGTTCACCCAAAGAGACGTAAGTGCCAACCTATTGGTCTCTCCTCTTCAAAACGTGTGGGCAGACCTCCTGAAGCATACACCAGCAAGAAGCCTGCATTTGAGTGAATTCAACTGCTTAGCTCGGAATTAATGAAGAGGTCTTTGTAGAGGCCACAAAAGATCTCACAACATTGCAACTTTTATTTTTCTTAAGTCACAAGAATTACTGAAGAAAGTATACAGACTACTTTTTCTACATGATTCTGTGTCTGGTAAAAAAAAAGCCAACCATAAGTATTGACATAGTTTGAGCTCACATTAAGCAGTTTAATCTTTATTTATTATATAATACATTGCCCAAACAAAACAAAGCTCTATAAATTGCAGCTCTACCGTAGAGAAAGAAATAAAAGGTCAGTTTTTTGGAGTCACCATCCAGTTGAAGAGAAACCTGAAGCATAAATCTTTCTTAAGTACACTGCTTAGCTATACCTCCTGCTTCATCAATGAAAAATGTTATATTAATACAAATATTTCCTATAAAATCTTTACAGGATACAAGGAAATGCCCAAAATTAAAGATACTGTTACAGAGCTCATGGAGTTGTGTAGGTAGCATGATTCCTGGAGAAATACACTGAGTAAGAACTTCACCAGGCTGGTTTCTGTGTGCACAGTGACTTGGGAAGGTAGCTCAGTGGTGGAGCACACATCTCGCATGCCAAAGACCCTGGATTTAATCCCCACGTTCCCAAGGACAAAAGGAAAAGAAGGAAAAGTCTGGCATACAAGTACATGATTCTTTTAGAACTCTGTAGCTTACCAAGGGCCTTAACACATATCATGACATTCAGTTTCGAGAGCAACCCCTGTGGAGTAAGCAAGGCATTCTCACTTTCCAATAAGAAACTGAAGGCCACGGAGATTAAATGACACCTTGTAATTAACATGAAGCAGACGGAATAGAGTATTCACATTTGGGACTTCCCCATGCCAAGCACTGTGCTCAGCATTTCACATAAGGATTCCTGAACTCCTCGCAACAGGCTTTCCTAAGTAAAAACTGAATTTCAGAGGTTCAGTGGCTTGACCAAGCTGATGCAGCCAGTACTGTCCAGTTTAGTCTGTTTTCCCATTGTACTTTGTTGTGTTTCCCAGTTAGGGAGTACAGAGCAATCATTGGAAATGCAGGGTTTCTTTTCTTTATTCTTTTTCTTCTTTCATCACACTAGCAATTGAGCCCAGGGCCTTGCAAGTGCTGGGCAGACAGCTGAGCTACACCTCCAGCCCAAGTCTAGCACTGCTAATCCCAGATGCTTCCTCTTCCCTGGAGCCCTCCCTGAGCATCACCCTCTCCAACCCCACACAGAGCGAAGCTTCCCTCCTGCAGTTATTGCACTGCTTCACTATATCCCATGTATGTAATTATTCCCTTCACTTCGTACCACTTTGGGCTCCTGGCAGACTGGACCATATCCTCAATTTATAGCTTGTTTCTTAGCTCTTATTAGAAAATCAATAGGCACAATAAATACTTAGGTATTGACTAGATGGATAAAAACCATTTTAAAAAATAAAAAAATTCATTTTTTATTATGCATTTGAGAGTTCCAAAGCATACTGTATATTTCTTTTAGAATATTAGACAAGTTAGACAAAATATCACTCCTGGTACAAATGCTTTTGCAAATATGATCAAGGCTCTTATTATATGATAGATACAAAACTGTGATAACACAGGGACTTCTGAAAATTCACATTCAAAATTAAAGTTGTACTTAAGATACATACGTCTTCTCTGCACATATTGCATAATCTAATTCTTCAACATACATCTTCTCTGCACATAATATATAGTCTAATTCTTCACACCTAATCCAAATTCTTACCTTTGACAGCATTTTTTGTTTGTTTTTATTTTTTAATGTTTGAGTCCTAAGCTCAGGAAGTGAACAATGGAGACTGCTACTTTGTGGAGGATTCTGGGGCTGGGCCCGCCATTAGTGATGCAAGCTGCAACAGGAATGAGATGAAAGGAAGAAGCTGACTTACACTGGTTCAGCCTCCACTGGGCTATGGAGTGCAAAGACAACTGTGTCTTCAACTTCTTTACTGGCTTTTTAAACATCTGTAATCTCATTCCTCCATGGGCAAAATGTTTAATTTCATTTTTGTCTCTCCACTTTCCACAGAGCACTTTGTCATAGCAGAAGAATGAATCAGGGGGAACAGTCTAGAAAAGTAAGTGGTTCCCTCTTTGGGTGATGGGGACTTTCCCACACCTAGTGCAGCTCCGGAAAGCTGAGCCAAGACTCTGTTGTATGAGTCCTCTCCATGACATCAGACCCTGTAGCCGATGACCACCTTGCTTTGTAATGAATCCTAAGTCAAATCCTGAGTTAATGCAATAAGAATGTAATAGTCTTCTTAACAGAATGATTGACACAATTGTAATTAGAGAAAATCAGGTTTCCAAAATTCTGGCATTCTCTTTAAATTATGTCAAGGAGAACTGACATTTATAAAATGCTTGAGGTCAGCTGTATGCTTCTACACTAACAAAAAAAGGCAAGAGAAACAGCTATCAACTCTAGCAACAGTTCACCAGGAAGGCTGTCTGTCCATACCAGCAGCAATCAACCTAGCCTTTGACCAGTGTCAGTTTGCTTTTTCAAGGCAAAAACCTTAACATTAGACTAAATTTCAGTAAATTAAAGCCCCATCCCTCACAACTCCCGCTGAATGTTGTGCTGGTCTTTTCAGATCTAAACATGGCAAATCAAAAGAGAGCAGTGAAACTCTGATGTCCACTCTGCAAAGAACCATTCCAGTGCAGGCCCTTGTCTCAGAATGCATTCAGCCAAATTCTATATTTGCTTCTGATGCTTAGGAAAATAGACAAAGTAATCATTAGAAAAGTTGTGAGCAAAAGATCAGAAAATTAAAGTTTTGCATATTTTATGTAAAAATTAAAACACTGGAAGTTATTTTGAATATTGACACTTCATTGACAGTATAGGCATTACAAAATATCTAGAGATGGATAAACCTTCACTGAGATCATTTACAACAAGGTGGGCTAAGACCAAGGTAGGGAAAAATTCCTACAAGTAGACACTTGATAAAGTCAGCTCACTCAAAGAACTCTGCATGGCCAGTCCACTCTGACCCAGGAAAGAAATGGGGGGGTGTCAGCTATCAGAGTGGCCGAGGAACCACATTTTATTATTATGAGTAAAGCACATGTAAGTTTTCTGTGAAAGCTCCTGATTTCTGTTAGAGCACTTCACATCTACACTAAGTGAAATTAAAGCACATCAAATAGATAGGAGGAATACTCAAAAACTACCCCCAGAAAGGACCACATTGTTCTCTACACAATTAACATAAATACATTGGTAGAGAAAAGATCATGCTGATGAACTTAAAATTTAAAAGCTGGACCTCCATTCTTAAAAAAATCATACAAGACTTCCCCTTACCTGTTTTGATATTGATGGCAAAAAAATTCTGTGGATTCCCACTTGTAATCCTGTATGTCAGTTTTTCATTGGAACTGGAGTCGGGGTCTTCAGCTTGGATCTGAATGACAGATACATCCTTGGGTGAATTTTCCATGACAACAGGATAATAAATGGGTTCCGAGGTCAGCGGGGCATTGTCATTCACATCTTCAAGTTCAATGTAGACTTCAATGGTGGAATAGAGTGGAACAACGCCCCTGTCTGTGGCATACACTGTCAGCCAGTACGACCCTGTTGTTTCTCGATCAAGAACGTCTGCAGCAGTGATGACCCCTACGAGAAAATGAAGAGAGCATGACGGCTACAGCAGAGTAAGAGACATTAAGTCAATCAGCCCAGATTCCAAAGGGCTGTGCTACACAGTCTTGGCATATGGGAAAAATCCATAATATGAAATGAAACTAAGATGCTACTCTTTACATAAGAAAATGAGCCTTCTTCAGTTTTCTCACAAATCCTTCATCTGGGTTTTGAAGCTAAATGAGTCTCACACACACACACACTCATACAGCACGCACGCACACACACACACACACATGCAGCATGCATGTGCACATGTACACACACATGCCACACACACATGCAGCATACATATGTGCATGCACACATGTGCGTGCACACACACACACACACACACACACACACACTTAAAGATGAGAGCATGTGAAGAAATGGGAAGAGAGTGGGGCCAAGGGCCAGGTTCAAAATATTCCCTACACTGCACGGGAAATCGGTGCATATCAATTCAATATCTCCATGTGACCTGCTACTCATTGGATTTCCTAAGCAACAAAACATTTTCTAGGGTAAATTATTTTATCTATTTATTCACAAAAATGAAAAAGACCTTTCAAATGTTCTTTTGACTGTTACAATGGAAAATATTTTGCTTACAAAGATGTTAGCCTCCTCCATGACATTTCCCTATAAACCAAATATCACAGTTATTCTACGTAAAATCTATGCCACTCAAGAACTCTACAGAAGGTCCTAAATAAGCCCTGATATGCTTTGGCAGACACTCACAGACAATCATAAAAGGTACACGAAATGCCCAGTGTGCTTCCTCATACCTTTCCCATTTTGTAGTGTCAACCAGGAAATCAGGTGTCTGGTAGAATAGTCAAGACAGTGTTTCTATATGTCTTTTTATCCCTCACCTAAATCACCAGGCTACAAAAATTTACCACAGAGACAGGTTCATAAACACTATCCATCATGATGGGAAATTCCAGTTCAGCTTATAAAATCTTTAAAAGCAGTCAGGATACTTAGTAAGGTGTGAAATTCATGTCAATCCTTGGAGAAGAGAGTTCTTCAGTGAAAAGTGCCCTAGTCTTCTGTCTTCTGTATTTCTATTGTGCTTTTACCTAAATTTAGCACACAATTTGGCCTATAGACCAAGGAAATTGCTAATATTAACAACTAACAGGAGGGAAAACCACTGTCTGAAGCAGTTCTCCATGCTGGAGTACTCAAAGTTGCCTAAAACTCGAAATAGCTAAAATATTCAAAGGCAGATAAACAAATTGATGTTTAAGTTTTAGCTCCAAAGTTATTCACCAAAGAATCCTGCATCATGAAATATGCTGGGACAAGACAATCTTAAATATTCTCAATGGAAATACATAAAACATAATAGGCTCCTATAAAATCATGGGTGACATTTAGAAGTCAGAGTAGAAATACTCGTACGATATTAGGAAAATATGTACCAGAAAACAGAAGTGAAAAAAAAAGAGATGTGAAGACAAAAGTTATAAGCACAGCAATGGGTCCACTGATTGAGTGTAGAATAGTCTTATAAACTGAGTTAAAACAGAACAGAGGGCCAACATGACGCTAAGGTCCAGAGAAGGCTCTGATGCCTGCAGATCTGACTAAATGTAAGTATACCTATAAGCACAGGACACACACCTATCATGGACACAGCGTGCAGCCCAAGTCACGCTCATGGACAGTAATGCAGTCCATGGGAGTCAGACCTCTGCAAATCAGACAGTGAACAAGTAACAGGAAACCAGGCAGTTTCTGGACTGGAGACAGAGAGTAGGCAAGCGTGGGCTAGAATGAACACAGGGCAAAAAAAAAGATGCTCTACAGATGCCCTGAAGCTCCTCTGACTTAGTCTGTCTATTTGCTTCATACATCTGCAGATCCCTTTGCTGGACACTGGCGAAAAATAGATAAATGAGAATGTCTCTGGCATCAGGAGATTTGCAGTCCAGCCGGGAAGACAGGACTCTAAAGAAGTGCTCTCTGCTCGGGAGATGACCTCATAGTCAACAGCTGGGAGGCTTTCATTTCACCTGACTCACATACTGGGAAGGAGAAGAATTTAGAACCTGAAGGGGACAGGAGGAAGAGAATCAGAATTTTCTGAGGATCCAAAATGTGCTGTGAGACTTGCAACACAACTTCCACGCAATATAAACTTCACAGTTTTCTCTTACAGATGATGGCTCTACACTGGTAACTTAGCCAAGGTTCCACGGCTAATTGTGAAACCCAGGCTCGTCAGCCTAAAATGCTCCAGTCTCAAACACAGGATTCAGTACTTACTACCTCTTTGACCCTGGTTTCAAGGTGTTCAGCTCAAGCATCCCGCTTCCCCTCAAACTCTCAGTGCTGCGGTGATCATTGTAAGTATGGCAAGACTTTGGTAAGATGCTAGCAGCACACTAGAGGTTGAGGGCGTATTAAATCAATAAGCACCGAATACATTACCACAAGCTTTGAAAACAGTAACCGCATCCCACACCAGAGGACAATCCTGAGAAAACAGAATTTTGGGAGGGGCTGTCATTTTAGATGTTTCTTCTCTGTTCACTCAGCATTGGTGGCACGATCATTGTGAATTGCCCATGACATCGTTTTTCAGGAAACTATCTCACAGTTTGGGGGAATAGCAAAGTAAGGCTAGAGAGAACTAAAGAGAACTAAAGGCTAAAGAGAACATAACCCAATAAAAAACCCGTGAAACCCATCAAAGCGGTTGGATCGGCCTTGATGGTCACTGTGCCAGAAGAGACAAGTGTGCACACACGCACCTACACAGATTTGCAGGCGCAGCACTGATATGTGATCCCAGGAAGGCGTTTAGGCCTCTTCTCTTCCAACTGTGATGCTATATTATAGGCTTTGGACGTTAATTACTTTTGAGAAGTTCTTGTATGAAATACTTCTACTACCACAAATTAAAATATATGGGTAGATTTTTGTTCTAATTTTCAGTGAAGGATCAGCTATATAGGCTAAAAATTAGAAGTAACTCTCATGAAATTAAAATATGAATATGGCTATATTTACTCAGTGACTAAAAAAGTACAAATGAGAATCTTGGAACATGATGTTCAGGCATCAGTTTTGTGATCTGAAAATTTGAAGCCAAACTAAAAAGAAAAAATCATGCATGTTAATTACTATAAGATTTGTCCAAATCTCCATATTAACCATTTATCAACATACATGTCCACTGTCAGCATTCCTCACTCGTTCTGGTATCCCACAGCTCATGATAACCACATATTCAAAACTACAAATGTAAATCCATGTAATCATTTTATCATGCAGACTCCCACTTGTGAAGCTGACCGAGGATTGTGAAAATGTAATGTCAAGAACCTTTAGCCCTATGACCACCACCATGCATTTCTCATTAGTTTTATTTTTAAATTTAGGTATCTAGCAAGGTGTAAACTGTAAATATCTAAAATAAAAACTTGATCAGTTTTGATAATTAGGAAACTATCATTGTACTAAAGACAACATATCCATCATCCCACCAAATATCCTTCTTCTCATTTTTAATCACTGGCTTCCAACTTTCCCTATTCCCAGAAAACCCCAGAAGATCTTATATCACTACAGCTACTATGCATTTTCTAAAACAGTATAGAAGTTGAATCATATAGGATGTAATACATTTTCCAATTTCTTTTAAAAAGAATAATTATTGTAAGGCTCACCAATGTTTTTGTGTGTATGACAACATATTATTGCTTTCCACTGGTAGTAGTCCGTCATAAAGGTATACCACAGTGATTTTTAACCATTGATCTGGTAGACATTTCAGTAGCTTTCAGGTTAGAGTTACATTACAAACAAAGCTTCTAAGGACATTCACATACACGGTTTGTCTGGCAGGATACTTTCATTGATCTTGAACAGTAATTTAAAATGACTGAATTACCCATTTGATGTGTATTTGCACCATTTTACATTTTTACTCATAGTAATAAGAAAAGTTCCAGTTGCTCTACATCCTCACTTATGGCAGGCTTAGAAGGTTTAATTGCCTTAATTTTAGACATTCTAGTGGTATGTAATTGTATTTTATTGTACTTTTAATTTGCATGTTCCTGATGATGCTGAATATCTTTAACAGTGTTAATGTGGGCTTCAGAGGCAGAAGGAAAACTAGCTAACCACAGACTGAACAATTCAGCAACTTAGTAAGAGCCTGTGTCCAAATGTACAGCAAAAATGTCTGGAGCTGTAGCTCAGTGCAAAGGCCTTGGGTTCAGTCTCAAGTTTCACAAACTTCACATGTCAGTAGAACAGTCTTGATAAAGGTGGCTGTACAATAAAAAGTCAAGAAGTACACAGAGGTGATCAAAAATATGTTGAATGTTTAAATAAACATAAAGGAAATGTCAGCAAAATTAAACGAAAGGGGATAAATCCAGATACAGGGTATCATAAACCTTCCAACTTTACTCTTACATGTCAAAATTATGAAAGTATTTCAGATTTTTTGTGTTTCCACATAAACTTTAGAATCAGTTTTATAATCTATAAGAAATGCAGAAAGCAAACAGAGCTTTTATTGCATTTACACTGAACCTATATATCAATTTTGAAAGAACTGGTACCTTGTCTACTGATCTATGAAAATGGTATTTCTTTCCATTTATTTACCTTCTTTTATTTCTTTTTGCAGTGCTTTTTAGTTTCAGGATACAGATTTTGCATATCTCTTATCAAATTTATCTCTAGTTAGTTCATATTTTTTATGTTATTGGAAATGGCACTATTTTAATTTCAATTGTTGTTATTAGCATATAAAATATGCTGCATCCTCATGAAAATTACATAGTTCTGAAAGATCTTTTATAAATTCTATAGAATTTTCCACATAATCACATTGACCCCAGATGCAGAAAGTTTTATGACCACTAGCAGTGCTGTTACCACCTCCTTCACGCCCTTCACTGTTTAGTTCCTGTGTACCTGATACCCTAAAGGTAATAAATGCATTTTTCATTAAGTAT